GATAGTACTTATCTATCCAAGGCAGAGATACTGAGGGAAAGAACAGATTTTCTTGGGGCAAGAGAAAGGGGAGAAATAGAATGAGCGTGGTTTTCTACATGTTAAGTTTGAGAATGAACTTAAGAATTAAGTTTTTCAAGTTTCAGTTGAAAATTTAGGGCTGAAACTCCAGAGGGTGATGGAGCATGTTCTGAAATTTATATGGGACAATTTCTTGAGTTCTTAGGAATTTATTTGTACCTCTTGTTTTCCAAAAATAATTTCAAGCAGCAGTTCTTCACTATAGGTAGAAATTCTTTAATTTGTTGTCAAAGCCTCAGCTGCCCTGCTAGATGTCATGATAATTTTATAAGATGACAAGAATTAAGTTTTTCAAATAAATTGGCAGTGAAAAATGAGATGTGATTTAAAAAAATTAGTTTGTAGCCAATAAGTAATGGTGGAATTTTGTCATGTCTATAGTGATTGTATGTTAAACTTCTGATAGAAATGTCTGGTTTTACTTTATTTTTTTTCTGGATGCTTTACCAAAGACCCATGTGCAAGGGGAAAAATTAAAAACAGACAACTTTGGGTCCACTGTAACTTTCACATGCCATAAGAAAATCTAAGATAGATGTTTCTTTTCCCATCATGGATGAAGTGCAAGCAAAAAGTAAAGTCAATTACATTTTAATGCTCCTATTTGAAATAATAAATGGTATTTGGACAGAGCCACTCTACTACACTTACTGGTAGAATGTACAGTTTGGTTGAAGTTGAAAAAAATGCACACAGCAAATTATTTCTGTTTCATTCTCAGGTCTATATCCTGTATTTGAAATGTGAGAAATAAGGAAATGAAAGAAGTTATTAAATTTTTTTAATGCAAGCCTGGTAAAAGGTAAATTTATGTTTTTGGGTCTTTTGCCAGCAACATGGAGCTCCTATCCCCAATATCCCGCCGAGTTCTTCAGGGAAATGACACCTGATCAAAGATGAAATTTTAGAAACCAATAAGATGTGTACCCCCAAGAGAAAAATCACATTAATTTGTATGAGTTTTTCCTAAGCAAAAATAGCAAATAGAGATAGCACTTTTTTTTCATTTTTTGACATTTTAAAAGTTGCAATTATTTTCATTCACTTACTGTATACATCGTTTGGAGTCTACTGCATGTGAGGGACTAGGCTATGTTTTGGGTAAATAATATCAAAATTGGATATGATCCTTGTCTTCAGACTTACATTGTAGAGAAAGTGATGATGATGGTGTATTAAAACTGAGGCATGAGAGGTGGTATGAAGAAGGAAGATATGATGCTAGGAGCGTCTACAAAAACAGTTAACATAAAGGAAAGTCAGAGAAGTACTTTTCACAAAAGAGCATCATCGGAAAGATGTTTTTGGATGCAGGACATCCAAAAACATCTTGTCTATAGTGATTGTATGTGAAACATCTTGCAGAACAAGAGGTTTTGGACACTAACTAATAGAGGTTTAAACAATTCAGTCATTTTGCTATCTCATGTAATAGGAAAGTTGGAGGTATTTTCATCAGGGTTGGTTTAGAAGTTGTTTCAGGATTGGCTCAATGATGTCCACAAAGCCCTGGGCTCTTTCCTGCTCTCTATTCCTCCACCCCTTCTTGTTAGCTAAGCTCTTATGCTTGCCTCCTCAAGTTCAGAAGACGTCACAATTCTAGGCATTATGTCCTTATAGAACTGCATTCAGAGGCAGGAAAATAGGTATTTCTTCTTGTATGTCTCTCTTTTGTTTTTTTTTTTTCCAGAATTCTTCTTTCTTAAAAGGGATTTCAGATCCCATTGTCTTTGGACATGTTCATGTGCTAGCCACCATAGGAGCTCATGGGAAAGCCAACATACAGCAACCTTAGTCTCTATCGTAGGAGTCAGGATCTCTCAACAAGGATGATAGAGGTGAAAAATGCCCGTAGGATGTAGTTTCTACCCCAGGGAGTGACTCTGAAGGTTGTGACCACAGCTGTGATCTGAAGGGCAAGGAGGATAACTAGAGAAGAGGCTAAGAGGTGGACTCCACTAGTCAACACCCTGTGAAAGGCTCTGGAGCAGCACATTGAAATAACAAAATAGTATTTGGACCTAGACATTCTAGTAAGCTTAATGGTCCAGCCTATGGTATAGGTGAAATAGTATAAATAAATAAATGCATATATCAGGTTATTTCTGTTCCATTCTTAGGCCTATATCCTGTATATAAGGTCAGAAAGGACCTCAGGAACGGGCAGTGGAAGGAATCCAGCAGAAGGTGAAAAGAATCAGAGTCCACTAGAGCGCTGGCAGTGCTGATGTTGGATTACAGGCTGTTTGAAAGACAAAGAGACTAGAGACTGGATGCTTTCCTAGGAATTCAGATTCATGGAAGCAGGGGACCAGGATAGGTGGGAGGTGAAGAGGTTGAGCTTTGGTAGATAGGGCCAGTAACAGGGCTATAGTAAGTTGCTCTATGAACACTGGGACACATCCCGTTACTCCTTGGCATAGAAAATCTTTATTAAAGTTAATCCAAACACCAAAGCCGCCCTTAGGCTTAAAATTTCTCTCTGAAATAGAAAACCCAGAAAAAGCTACACACAAGTATGGCCAACTGATATTTTGACAAAGGAGCAAAAGGGACTCCATGAAAGAAGGATAAGCTTTTCAATAAATAGTGCTAGAGCAATGGGATAGCCACAAGCAAAAACCTGAACCTAAACCTCATACCTATTAATGGAAAACTTAAGTCACAAAAATTAACTCAAAACGAGCCATACACTTAAATGTAAAAAGTAAAACTAAAACATCCTTTGAAAGAAAACAAGATAAAATCATTAGGACATAGGATTGGAGAATAGTTCTTAGACATGACACAAAAAGCACAATCCATAAATTTAAAAAATGAATAAACTGGACTTTATCAAAATTAAAAATATTTGTTCTGTGGCAGATCCTGTTAAGAGAATACAAATACAAAGTACATATTGAAGAAAATATTTGTGAATCATGTATCTGGTAAAAGACACACCTAGTATATAAAGTATTCTCAAAATATTACAGGGAAAAAAGCAAATAATGCTAATTAGAAAATGGGCAAAAGACATAAGATATTTAACTGAATGGAATATACAGATGGCAGATAAAAACGTGAAAAGATATTCAACATTATTAGCCATTAGGCGAATGAATGTAAATTGAAACTGTGATGAGGTATTACTATGCACTCATTATTTACTTTAGCTCAGCTGAAATAAAAATAGCAATAATAGAAAATGCTGGTGAGGTTATGGAGAAACTGGATCTCTCATACAGTGCTGGAGGGAATGTAAAATGTTACAGTTACTCTGGAAGATAGTCCTTACTTTCTTTAAAAAATGAAACATACATGTATCATATGACCTGGCAATTGTACTTTTGGGCATTTATTTCAGAGAAATGAAGATTTTTGTCCACGTAAAAACTATATTCAATTGTTCACAGCAGTTTTATTTGTAATAGCCCAAAATGGGAAACAACCAAAATGTTCTGCAATAGGTGAATGGTTAAATTGTGGTACATCTATACCATGGAATATTACTCAGCAATAAAAAGGAATGAACTATTGATATACACAACTTGGATGGATATCAAGTGTGTTATGCTAAGTGAAAGAAGCCAATCTTAGAAGGTCACCTACTGCATGAGCCCATTTATATAACTTCTCAAAATGTCAAAATTATAAAAATGCAAACAGTATAGAGATCACTAAGGTTAGGAGGGCAAGTGTTACTAAAAAGGGTAGCACCAGAGAGATCTTTGTGAGGGTGGAATAGTTCTGTATCTTGATCATGGTGGTGTTTACACAAATATGTAATAGAATGACACAGGACAATACAAATACTTATATCAATGTCAGTTTCCTGGCTTTGATATTGTACTCAAGTTATATAAGATGTAATCACTGGGGGAAATAGGTACACAAGACATCTCTGTACTATCTCTGCAATTTCATGTGAATCTATACTTATTTCAAAATGAAAAGTTTAAAATAAAATTTTCTCTGAGGCATCTCTCCCTTGCTTTCCTTCGTCTTGTGCATTTCTCTTTCCCTAAGTATGACTTTTTCTCTCCCCCTTTCCCTTATGTACTGGATTTTCCTTTAATGGTCCATAATGCCAAACTGTCATTGCCCATCCTCCCATTGTTCCTATTTATTTAATGAAGATTATGTTTTCATGTGCTTAAAAAGGCAGGAAAGTACTAACTTGTTAAACAAATGTCTTAAAAAACAAAACCCAAAACTAACCTGCTTTCTATTTTATATAACTCAGTTGATCATTGTTCTTTAAGGTCAGAAGTCCACAATACAAACATGTTTCCAACACTTGTATTGGAAGATAATTTTTGTTCTATATGCATGGAGCTTTAATGTCATTCTTTGTGTCTATGGATTATGAACACACACACATTCAGGATTTACTGGGGGAAGTAGTGACATCAAATATTATGTTCTACTGATTCTTTGTATAAACATACATGTCAAAAAATAATCCTTTGCCAGATCATGTATCCAGATTTTTCGTTTGAAAAATCTGAACATTACCACTACAGAATGTCACACTGAATACAGCCCTGTCTTGAGGTCTTGCAAAGTGAATTTGGCAATACTTTGGAAAAGTACTACTTTATGTTCTTAGGGACCCAAAAAGCTCTCCGGCTTTTCCAGTGGGCTCAGCCCCAAATATTCTAATTTCTTCGATAAATTACGAGTTGCAGGTGTTTAAATTTGCAGGTACCTTCTTTTGGTCTTTTCATTATCATTGCAAAACAGCAGTCCTAACAACCAGTAAAGATTACACATAATTTATGGTGGAAATTTACATTTAGTGCACTTTTGCATTTCTTCCTATACATTTTTCGTCTTAATTCTTTCAACTAAACGCTTCTCCTCTTTTTTAAGCCCCAGCATTAAAAAGGAAATCCCACAGAGCTTCGCTACATTGCGATTGCACTGGCTTGAGAACGAAGGAAGTTAGTCCCTTGCGCTGATCCGTCCTCTCATCCTGGTGTTTGCCTGCAGCAAGATGGCGGCGGTCTCAATGTCAGTGGCGCTGAAGCAGGCGTTGTGGTGGAGAAGGGCAGTGGCTGTAGCTGCCCTTTCCGTTTCCAAGGTTCCGACCAGGTAACAGAATTGTCACACTACTTCTTCAAGCTTCTTGGGTCCCTCAATTTTTGCGGAGTCTCTGCTAGCTGAGTCCCGGAGGGGGCCTTGGGGAAAGCGTCCTTTGGTGACCCTTTTCTCGGGAGGGGTCGGGTGGACTAGAGACTGTCTGCTTTCCGCTGGCGCTGGCCAGGCGAATGAGGGCCTGAGTGCGAGGCTGGGGGAGGAGGACCTGTGGTTTTCTGGAAGCTTTTAGCTTGTGGCTGAGGGAGAGGGTCTGTAGGGAGGGTTTGCCTCCGGAGCTGCAAGCTGAACCTTAGCCCTCGGAGAAGGGGAGGAGTCTCACTGATTTCTATCTCCACTTTCTGCATCCCTTCCATATGTCACCTGTTTGCCCACCACTACAGTCCTTTCAGAAGGGTTAAATCACTGTATTCCTTACATGGTTTTAAGTGCTTTTAATTTGGTTTCTGCACAGGAAAATTTTTTTGTTCATTAGTCTGCTTGGGAAGAAAACTTGTTTGGAATTTAGTGTTAGTAAAAATATCACTGCTAGTAATATTGGCAAGTGAGTTCTAAAAGGCTGTTGGTAGTGCTCGGAGGTTTTACATCAACAGTTTTGTAAAAGCCTGACAGTGATTCAGGGATTGAATTGAGTTGCTGAGGGCACTTTGCGTTCTTGAGAACCTAAAGTAGTACTTTTCCAAAGTATTGTCAGATTCATTTGTCAGTTGATTGAGTTGTTATTGTTTTTTCCTTGAAGCATTTTTGTGATGATTTTTTTCTGCTGGATTACTTAATCTTCCATTTTCTGTTTTTAAGAATTTTCTTGAGTTTTTGATTATAGTACTAATACTGTACATAAAACACACATTCGAACAAAGAACGGAAAAACTGGATGGAGAGATTTGAAGGGGGTAGGAGGGATGCAAGTGGTTAAAAGTTGAAAAGAAGTTCTAATAGAATACTAATTAATGTAGTGTTAAATAAATATAAATGGAATGCAGAGAATTAGAATGAGTTAATTCGAAGAACTTTTAAGGGTGAATTTTATTAAGGGTTTTCAAATAGTGGGTGTTGGGTGGGAAAGGAGAGTGTCCCAATAGGGTCCATGGCTTATGAAAAGGCTCGAAGGCATTAGTAAAACGATTACTAAATACGTAAAATAGAGTCACTCAAAAATAAGGTGCTAAGATTTGGGAAAGGCAAATGATGTTTGTAATTAAGTGTTCCATATATGGAAAATATTTTTCTAACGTAAAATACGTCACTGGTTAACTTAGAGCTCATATAGCGGTGACCAATTCCCCGTACATATTATAAGGATTAATTGTGCATTCCCAGATAATAATGTATTCATGGTAGCCCCAGAACTGAAAACAAGTTTGAAGGGACCACTGGTTCATGGCTAATCAAAACGTGGCTGTAAGTTTAAGTCACAGCCATTTTGTCAGCAGTTATAGTAATTGAAGTTAAGATGACATTAGATTTTGAGAACTCTGATGGTAATTATTACTGCATATACCGAACTTAAGAGTTTTTGCTTGCAAATGTAAGAGATTTGAAAATAAATTGTATAATAAAATTTAAAAAAGAAACTTAAAAAAACATAACAGCAAAGGAAGTCATTTTTAAAATACAAATTAACACATTTATTTGTTTTCTGTGCCACATTTTTACCCCAAGAGCTTGTCATGTTCATCTTAATTTGAGGGAAATTTATAGACCTCTCCCTTACAAACTGTTTGTTCATCGTCCTTAAGCATTCTTTTCCCATTATGATTTGATAGTAATGAGGATCTGAAAAAGGTGAGTCGAAAGAACCAATTAATGGGGAAATCTACATGTAAAATTCATTTATTGTAGTGCTTAGAAAAAATTTGCAAATCAGTAATATTTCAGATCACTTGACTAAAATATGGGAAGTGGAATCAGTAAGGTAAGGAGTGGAGTAGGGAACTGAAGAAAAGGGAGGATGCAGTTAGCTGCTACATTAACATATGAATGCAATTACAGTTTATCAGTAAAAAGCAAAACAAATAATGCAACAACATATACACACAAGAGGGAGAAATAATTAATTTGGGTGATTCAGCTGATCTAGTTACTCATTGAGCTTGTGCTCTAGAGTTGATCTCAGTTTCCATGTGTGTCTCATTTCCTTGTACTGAATGTGAGGAGGGAGAAAACAGGTTAAATTGTCTACTTTTTTTTGAAATGTAGTTTCACTCTTGTTACCCAGTCTAGAGTGTAATGGCTCAATCTCGGCTCACTGCAACCTCCGCCTCCCAGGTTAAAGCAGCTCTCCCACCTCAGCCTCCCGAGTAGCTAGGACTATAGGCGACCCCCACCACACCCAGCTAAGTTTTGTATTTTTAGTAGAGACAGGGTTTCAACATGTTAGCCAGTCTGGTCTCGAACTCCTGACCTCAGGCAATCCACCTACCTTGGCCTCCCAAAGGGCTGGGATTACAGGCATAAGCCACTGCACCTGGACCTAAATTTTCTACATTTATCCTTACTTTCCCTGACTTTCCTAAGGGTTTTTCCAGGGTAAACATATTCAAAGTGGATTTATCAGTCAGATGAAATGGCACTCTATTTCAAAATAGCAACATTTAAGATATTTGATGCAGTGATGTTATTTATTCATTTATATATGTTCATGTATACTTATCTCACCTAGTGCTGTATCATCACTTCTTAATATTTACTAGGTCTTGTGTTTTCCTCAAACAAGTCTTTAGGGTGTTAAATCACCAGAGGATGTTCATTAATGACTGGTGGGGACTGAGTATGTGGGACCTGTTTGTGGGGCCTATTTATGCCCTTACCTGTGGCTTTGTTTCTGTTGCTGTATTTCTTTTTTCAGCATTAAATACACTAGCATGAAATTGAGTCTTCAATTAGTTGGGGAATTGAATTGGGACCTCCAGTTAGTAGCAGTCCTTAAGGTTGACAAGAATTTTGTATACCTTGCTGGGAAATAGGCTCAGCCCAAATTTAGGACACTTAAGACCAATAGGTTCACTTCTACATCAGATAAACTGAATAAACAAATTCCTCTCCAGGGGGCAGCTACTTTTGCTATCTTTGTAACGCATCCAAGCCAAATTTTGAGAGCTTGAAAGGTTTCTAATATGTTTTCTAATAGGTTTATTGTTTTGTTTCTTTTAATCTTTCCAAATGCCCATACTTAGTTTTCGTCAATAGCAGGCATCTTTGTTGACTTTTTGTTAGAAAAATTATTATTATTATTGTTATTGTTATTATTATTTGAGATAGTCTCATTCTGTTGCTCAGACTGGAGTTCAGTGGTGCGATCTCAGCTTTCTACAACCTCCACCTTCTAGGCTCAGGTTATCCTCCTGCCTTAGCCTCACAAGTAGCTGGGACTGTAACGCACCTACTACCACATCCAGCTAAGTTTTGTATTTTTAGTACAGACGGGATTTCACACTGGTCTTGAACACCAGGCCTCAAGTGATCCACCTGCCTCAGCCTCCCAAAGTGTTGGGATTACAGGCATGAGCCACTGCACCCAGCTGGAAAAATGAAATATTTTAATATTTAATGTCTGGCATGTAAGCCTTCTCTAAATAAGTGGTAATTTTATTATTGGTTTGAATAGCCTGAATATTTTTTATTTCTTTAATCGTGGTCATAAGTACTGTGATAGATTGTATTATTGCTTTAAGTATTCATTACCATTATCTGTAACAGGATTACATATCCAAAAACCATTGGCCCATTGACTTGCTTTATTAAGTGAAATGTTAGTGGAAATTATATATCATGTTAGACAGAAGCTTTGAGAGCTGTCCTGTGTTTTGTCATATTGCTTTTCCCTCTGATGTAAAGTAGGCATACTTCAGACGGGATCTGCTCTTTTAGCCCAGATCTTGGAATGTACACTACATAGTGCAGAGCAGAAACTGATTCTTGTTGCAAGATTTTGTAAAATATAAATTGAGTGAAAAAAACCTTCACTGTAGGCCACAAAAGTGTTTGGATTGTTGGTTACCTAAGCATTACAACCTATATGCTGACTCTATTTTGTATACACACATCTTTGCAAGTGAGGAGGTTTTAGCACATGGACCAATATATCAGCTGTGAAGTCACAAGCTTTTTGAGGACACAACCACCACATTTTTACGTATTTTTGTGTACTTCATGGCACCTAATGTAATGGCTTGCATGTAGCAGGTAAATGCTCATCTTATAGATGAATAAATACATATTTAGAGATGAGTGATTATCAGGAAAACAGGGAGCATTACGTAGTATTTCTTTTAATAGCCTCATTAGTGATAGCCAGATAGGCAGTAGCCTACATAAATATGAATATAATCTATAATACATATTTTCTGCAATTATTTGTACGTGTAGGCTATTCACCTAGAACTCTTACCTTTTGGATTGAAGTTGTATTATGAATGGGTTTTGTACTCAAACATTTTGACAAGTGTTCAGACACTTCTTTTGTATTCAAATTTAAAAATGCAAGAGGAAATGAATCTATTTGGGAAGGGGTACCCTGGAACATGAGAACTTTTCTGGAGTAAGAGTAACTATGTGAAGTTTTAAAAAGTTGATACATGGGACTTAATGGAGAAAGATGGAACAACTTGGTTCCTGTATGATATCTGCTAGAAGAGATCTGTTTGGGTTGGGGTATACATAGAATTTAGACAGAATACAGATTGTACTGGATACAAACAATTTCAAATGGAAAAGCTTCTAAAACATATAGCTTGATAGAAGTTGAGAATCATTTATTCTGAGCAAAATTAATAACAAGTAACAGTTATTTTTAATTTTCTGTGTATCAGCTACTGTGCCAATACCCGTATTATCTCATGTATTTCCCACAGTAATCTTATCAACTCAGGTGTTGTTACCCTCATTTTTCAGATGAGGAAACAGGTACAGAAGTGAAATTACTTAAGTTCACATTGCCCGGAAATATAGTCATCCCATGGTATCCATGAAGGATTGGTTCCAGGACTCCTCCGGGA